TTTTTTTTTTTTTTGGAATGGAGAATCTTGTTGAAGAAAGAAAATCAGATTTGGAACAACATTAGGTAAGAGAATGGTTTTAACTTTTGGACTGAACTTTAAGATTCTGTCCAAAGAAAGATTACTACACTTCATCTGTGGCAAAAGTCCTGGGAGCAGCAGTAATTGTACAGTCTTTCGTTTCATGATCTTGGAGTGACTTGAAGTTCAAATATTTGACAAATGAATGGATTAACCACCACGACCAGCCAACAGCTGTGATAATATTCCCAGCAGAGACCAGTTTGATAGACCTTGTAAGGATTGAATCGTATGCAGTTGATTTGAACCCCGCTGGGTTCGTCTATAAAACGAACTTGAGATTCTGAACATCAGAATGATGGCGTTTCATCTCTGGGTCATGAACCTGGTTAGAAGAGAAATACTGAACGATTCTGTCAGTCACAAGAAAGGCGTCCAGCCTACATACTGCATTATCTGCACTAATCATGCACTTCCTCTATAAAATCCAGTTAACTGACCACCTACAACATATACACCAGATCAAGAGTCAGATAGATAGATTCATAACAAATTGCACAGTATGCAGTTAACAAAAATGTTGAAATTAAATACACAGGCAGACTGGTCTGTTTATCTCTTTATTAATATTATTTTATAACCTCTGCTATTCACACGTTAAGATATTGGCACTGGGATGTAAGGATTCAATCAAGAAAATACATGTTCAATACACCCACGTATACTCATATTTCTAAGTTATAGACAGCCTGGTTTAATGGAGGTCTTGGGGGGTTAAATGAGGCCCTTTCATGACATCAGAACACGTCATCCCACATCCCACATGTACATTAAAGAATTAGTTCACCCAAAAATGAAAATTAGTCCATGTTTTACTCACCCTCGAAGCATCCTAGGTGTATATGACTTTCTTCTTTCAGACGAATCCAGTCGGAGTTATATTAAAAATTGCCCTGGCTCGTCCAAGCTCTATCATTGCAGTCAGTGGGTGTTGCAGTTGAACAGTCCACAAGTCGTCAAATAAAGCGCGCGCATCCATAAAAAAAAGTGTCTCACACGGCTCCGGGGGGTGAA